TCTTTTTAGGGTTTCAAAGTGTCAGTTGAGCATCAGCTTAGAACTCTCTCAAGCGGTGAAACTGTTTGTGCTGAAGTGTACGAAACTATCAAGGAGGCGGCACAGTTCATGTACCAGCAGTATTTGTCGCAAGAGGTATTGTCATATCATATTCATCGTTTTGTTTTGTTTCTGATTCAAGAGAATTAACTTACCTATAGGCTATCACGCGTGTACCTTTGGAAGACGGAATCATTGCCAAGTTCCTTTCGCGAGTGAGAAACGATGAGCCGTGCGACTTTTGGTTCGAGCAGATTCAAGAAAAGGTTTTCAAAAACTTCAAGCCTATCGAAGTTTTTGTTTGCTTTCTCTTTTTTCCAAAGAATCTATATTCAAGGTTGTTGACATATTGCGTACCGACGAGCACTTTTATCCTGGATTCAAAAAGAGCTCCTTGTATGAGAAGATGCTTGCCGAACTGGGTATCACGGGCGATGATGAGCGACCAGAAACACCAGCCTCGGATGGATCTGTATACTCTGCTTCTGGTACATCAGATCAGGATCGAGCACCTAGTGTCAGTAAGGTGAGGATCTTAGATTTTTCTCTTTCGACTCTTCCTTTTTATCAAGTTCCCTTCTACATGTGTTCGCCATTACTACGTTATAAATCTGTCTTTTTAAGATTGTCGAGGAAGGAATGGTTAATGATGGCAAGCCAGTCATGTCCGCGGTTGTTGAAACACTCGGAATTGGTCAACAGGTCGGTATATGCGCTTATTGCTGCTGCATAGTTTTCCATTATATCTGCGTCACTTTGTTTGTAGTTACTATTATCTTATATTTTTGATCATGTATTTATCTCGGTGATACCCGCATTGTAGGGCAGACAATCCTTTGCATTATACAATGTACGCGTGAGCAGATCAGTGAACGGCAAGAAAGTCAGTGGCTGGAATGTGCTGCGACGCTATAGCGATTTCCATACGCTGCACACGTTTATCATACAGAAGGTGGGAAAGTTTGTGTACATGTTTTTGCAGCCTTACGAGAGTTTATTTTTAGTATCCTAAACTTGTCAATTTGTCTTTCCCGGGGAAAAAGACCTTCAATAATCTGGATGCGCATTTTCTTGAGAAAAGGACGAAGGTAAAATTGTGAGTATGGAAAAAACGTTCCGCAGTTTGACAGTTTTTAGGCTCTTAATCTGTTTATGGACTGTGTTCTTCAACCCTCTATGTTTGATAGTTATCCTGAACTAGAAAGCATGATGTTCGATTTTCTTAGCCAAAAGGAGTACCTAGGAAACCGGGAACCGATAGCAAAAAAGGTAAGTCAAATTAGGCACTGAATAATCGAAATGAATATCAGATTTAGGTGATGTCTGCTATGTTTGACCCTATCAAAGTGGGCGTCAAAGCTGTAGGAAATACTGTGATGGCTGTTCCTGATCAGTTTTATGGCGGTGTATCTAAAGTTGGTGCTGGCATCAACAGTGCGGCTAAAGTCATCATTGTAA